TCCAACCCGTCACACCCACCTCCCCCCAATAGGAACAGGACTGAGATCCACTAGCTCACTTCAGACCCAAGTGACAGCCGTGAGGATGGCAACTTCCACGCTGGGTTGGCTGGGAACCAGTCACAACAAGCGAAAGGCTTTGTACCCCAGTCCTCTACAGTGAAGGGTTGTAAAAACCAACCCTCAGCAGCAAAACCCCACAAGCCTCAAGGAAGGGCTGGTACCTCACAACCTCTAACTGTCAGAGAAAAGAGACAACTAAGGGGGGATAGAAGAGAGGTCTGTCAGATCACGAATAGTGTGGAGAAAGTGAACCAGGAAGTGTTATTTACTTCTTCATGTAACACACGAACCAGGGTCACCCACTGAAAGTAAGAGGCAGCAGGTTTAAAACAAACCTAAGGAAGTATTTCTTCACACAACACACAGTCAACCTGTGGAACTCATTGCCAAGGGATGTTGTGAAGGGCAAAAGTATAATTGGGTTTAAAAAGAATTAAATAAGTTCCTGCAGAAGAAGTCCAATAGCTATTAGCCAAGATAGTCAGGGATGCAACCCCATGCTCTGGGAGTCCCTTAATCTCTGACCACCAGATACTGGGACTAGACTGGACAAATGCTTTGTTCTGTTCATTCCCTCTGAAGCATCTGGCCCCAGCCACTGTCAGAAGACAAGTTACGGGGCTCGATGGACCATTGGTATGACCCAGTGTGGCCATTCTTATGTCATTTAAGAACTGAGGCCCTATATAGGATGGCATGATGCCAGCTTCACCTTTAGCATAAGACGGTCCAGCTTTGGCTTCATATAGTGGTACCCTCTTATACCAGTAGAGAATGTGGTCCCTAAGTGAGAGGGAAAGAAAAAATGCATGTGCAACAATGCTAGATTTTACTGTCCACGAACAGGCATGGGTAACGTACCTTCCTATTGTAGGGTTAGCCATAGTGCCCATCACTATAGCAACCGAGCACTGACTAGCTCTACCGGAGTTGACTTGTACACAAACGAGCTCCAAACCAGGATAGAGGTGCATGGGCAGAGCTGTGCTGGGACAGTTGGCACTGCATAGCGCCTGCTCACATAATGCCAACCTAAGCCACTCAATTCCTCACTTCCAAGAGCACAGCTTTTTTCTGCTCTGTTGTCTTTTAAACCAACTGACCAAAATGCTGGATGAACTTTATTATAAAGACAGGCCCAAGCAGCAAAGCTCCCTTGAAGCCTGTGCATGCGCGTGAGAGGTCAGGGATGGGGCACAAAAGTTTGGGTCCAATGTATTGCTTGCAAGGGACTTGGTAAAGTACAAACACATCCAAGTTATGATTTGGCCCTGCAGAATGGTGTGGAGGCCTGAATACAGGGCCCACAGACTGCATTGGGGCAGGACTTTGCATATGCTCAGACATAACTTTTGGGAGTAGAGGGCAAAAGCCCTTGAACACAGATCAGACAGCGATCTTGCAGCTCACTAATCACCATCACAGGTTGGCCAGGGCCTCTAGACAGAGTCGTCTCAGCGGAGTGAGTGCCACAGAGACACAAAATATTGGAGTTTTCAGAAGTCAGGTGACTTGGCGAGAACTGTGCGGTTATCCTGAGACACACCCAGCTTTGGGATAAAAGGAGTTTTTAGGCACAGCAGAGAACCAGACAGGGTTTCCAGTCCAACCTCAGACACAAGTAGAAGGTAATCAAGTGGTTAAACCTCTTCCTAAGGAGAATTTTATTAACTAAGCAGCCATTTCCGGAAGACAGAGCTCTTCAAAATCCCCTTCAGAAATGAAAGCCAAACCTCTAATCTCCATTCTGTTAGCACAACAGAGGTCCTGGGTTGAGAGGAACATCCCAGTTTGGGCTGATCAAGTGCCAAAAGAGTTTGCAGAACAAAAGACACAAGGATGAGCAGCCCCTCTCTAGAGGCTTCCGCATTTTTTTACGGGGAGGCACTTTCATATCGGGGTTAGAGCTGAGCCTGAGTGGGGACAGGACAATTCAAGGGCTGGTTGAAGGCATCTGTCACGGAGTGTGGGGGAGTCAGGGCTCTGCATCCCCCACTTCCTGCGATTCACCATGACTCTCAGCCAGCCAGTAAAACAGGAGGTTTATTAGACGACAGGAACACAGTCCAAAACAGAGCTTGTAGGTGCAAACAGAACCCCCTCAGTCAGGTCCATCTTGGGGGGGCAGGGAGCTTAGATCCCTGAAACTCTCCAGCCCCTCCTCTGCCTTTGTCTCTTTCACGGGCCAGGTCACCTGATCTCTTTGTTCTCCAACACCTTCAGTTGGCACCTTTGCAGAGGAGAGGCCCAGGCCATCAGTTGCCAGGAGACAGGGTGTCGGCCATTCTCTGTGCAGACATCATCACACTGGCCCTCTTGGGCTCTGCAACAATCACACATCCTGATCCCCCCACCTAGATACTTCAGAACTGCATAGGGGAAACTGAGGCACCCAGACCGTATTCAGAGAAAACATTAAGAACATTCCCACTTCATCACAGCATCCAAGGGTAGTCACACTCAGAAAAGAACCTGATCTGAGCTTTCGGGCATTACCGTAAAACAGATAATAAATAAGAACACTATGAAATAATAATCAGCACTTCACTCTTCACTATGACCTGGAAAAAATGCCGGACTGCGAGAGATTTAAAGAGCTCCATCAATTTACATTATCAAAACGAAGCTCAAGAAGGAGATGGATCCCAGCCCACCACCTAGCTGCTTGCTCAGTTACAGGGAGGATACAAAGAGCAGAAGTTTTTCAGTGTTTAGGTGGGTGTTTGCAGCACTAGCTATTGGGGAGAAAATAAAAAATCATCTATTGATTTGTAAACTAAGCTCTCTGGCTCCTCAATCACAGCCTGAGGCCGGCCTGGCTCTCACCTCTTCAGAGCCTTCTGCAGCCGGGGTCTCTCCTACTGAGCATTCGCCGTCATGGCCACTTTTGGCATCATGTGCCAATTCGATCGCAGCGGCGTTTACACCAAACACACCCTGCTCTGCTTTCTCTCACTCTTGTCACTCCAGCAGCCGACTGCTTCCATTATAGGGATTGAAACACAAGAGCAGAACAGATGGAGCTGATCAAAGGCTAAATAAAAACCAGAGGTTCCTAGAGAATGCCCCCGGACAGCTTGCAGAGGCCATGAAGCAGCTGCACAGGATGCAGAGTTGAGAGTCTCCAGAGGCTTTTTGGATGAGTTAAGTATTCACCGACGGGGCTCCAACGCCGCTTGAAGCCTTGCTGTAACTGGAGACCAGAGACCAGTGTGAGAACCATTGAGCTCTACAAAATACAGCTCTCCAGTCTAGCTGGCTCTGTGGATCTGCGCCCCACAGAGGGATACTGATATTTAAAACATACCATTTTGGAATCAATTACACGAGCACCGGCCACGTCTATAGATCACTACTGTTAATTTGTGCACTACATTATGGATGCATGGATGTATCTAGGGCCTGCTGTAGTGGCTAGGCACAGGGAGGTTGCCTCAGACACATATATATCGAAATAGGGCTCTCAGAGTCCTGTGCTGTACTCAATTGGGAACTGCCACATGAAGCTACAGAAGGCTTTGGGTGGCCTCCATGCAAGTGGGTACAGATGGTCCATTACCTCTTTCAGTTCCTCTTCACGGTCCACTTCAGAGCCCTCTGCCCACTTCCTTCCTGCTCCTCCCAGTGGAGGGGGAGAGTTCCTCTTCTCAAGCCCAAAGCTGTTCTTGTTCCCTCTGCCATCTGGGAAGCAGGGCGGCTGGGTCTGGTTTGGAGAGGATTCTAGACAAATATTCCAGCAAAGGAAACAAAGAGGAGCGTTAGAGTCAGATGCTGTGGCCAATGAAGTCTGGGCTCGAGGGGGGAGGGGCTTGCAGGTTTTTTCCTCTTTTTCTTTGGAAAAAGAAATACAGACAGGTCAGTAGCTCCCCCCTAAGCAACAGCTGGCTGAGTCAGGAATCAGATTTCACAGCAGCTGGGAGCTCAGCCAGCCTCCCATTCTACCAGCACCTCGATGACCTATCAGATGCTGCCCGTGGACACAGACTGCCTGAAACCACAGCCCAGCTGGCTGGCTGCATCATGCTGAAGTCACACTATCCACCTGCTGCATACAGCTCCCGATGTCGCTAGCTAAATCACACACCTTGGGCAGCACAGGCCTCTCTCACCAGAGACATAGCAGCTCTTCCTTAGCTGGTGATAGCAGGTTTCTTCCTACTCCAGCCCCTTTGCTCTTCCTGCCTTTTTCCAGGCTGCATCTTGCATGTGAACGCCCCTCCCCAGTACCCAAATTCATTCAAATCCCTCCTTCGCCCTCACTTCTACCACGCCTCACTTTGTGCAGTGTTCCTTGCCACAGAAAAGAGGCAGAACTAGGCTGCGATCAGTACAAAGGGGACTCTTCATTGAGGCGGCTGGACACAGACAGCCCCTGTGGTTTTCCCTGACTCTATAGCTTCCAGACTGTGCTGCCAAGTGTCATTACACAACTCCCGAAAGCCTGGCTTGGACCATTCAGTCATGGAAAGACCTGCTGACTATGCTAGTGGTATCAGAAAATCCGCCAGTTGCCTAAAGCCTCTCACAGCTGACTTGTTTGGCCTGTAAGCAGCTTGGGGCAGAGAACACATCTTCCTGCATGGAGCATGCTGCAGGCACCTAATGCATCTTTGGAGAATGTCTCTGTGTCCTCCAACTCAGAGCAACAATATACCATTTGAATTCAGGTACTGCCTCCAACGTGCTAGACATGGTCCAAACACACACTCCCTGCCCTGAAGAACCTATGATCTAATAATACTTGGCACTTATAAAGCTGGGCCAGTATCCTCAGCCCCATTTCACAGATCGGGCAGATGAGGCAGAGAGGTGAAGTGACCTGCCCTAGCTCTCACAGGGAGTCGGCAGCTGAGTCATGAATAGAACCAAGGAGTCCTGGCGGCCAGCCCCACTCACATACAAATTGCAAACTGATACAGTCAGCAGCAACATACAGCCGTCCCCCACGCAGTGACCGTGCCTGGCCCGGGCCAAGTTACCTTCAGTTTGTGTGCTCTTGGCAAGGGGCTGCATCTGCCTCGGACTTTTGATCTCAGACGGAGCCTCTGAGTTGTCACACGCCTCTCTTTTTTCAGCTGGTGCTACGGCCAGTTTAGCCAGTGGTGGTGGATCTCCTGTTGGAAAGTAAACAGTACGAGGCAATGAAGAGGCATTCAGGGCACAGACAGGAGACTGAATGGATAAGAAAGGAGTCAGTGGACAGAATTTAGTACAAGCTCTACCGAGGATCATCTAGTGCACCCCATAGATGCCGACTTCCTGTCGGCACCGTGCGTGCTCGATCCACCTACCCCCCCGCCACCCCTGGCCCTGCCCCTGGCTGCCCCTGCACCACCCTCGCCCTGCCCCAATTCCACCCCCTTCCCCCAAGTCCCCACCCTTGCCCCGCCTCTTTACCGCCTCCTCCCGCAAGAGTGCCATGTCCCCAATCCCCACCCCGAGAGCCCTAAGCGCTGCCAAACAGCTGTTAGGTGGTGGGAGGGAAGCGCTGGGAGGAGGAGGAGCAGGGACGCGGTGTGTTCTGGTGAGGAGGCGGAGAGGAGGGGGTGGGTACCAGGGGAGCTTGGCTGCCAGTGGGTGCGGAGCACCCACTAATTTTTCCCTGTGAGTGTTCCAGCCCCGCAGCACCCACAGAGTCGGCGCCTATGGTCCACCGCCTACCAAGCCAGGACACACTCCCCAGATAGGGGATGGTATCAGACTGTAAAGCAATCATCTTTTACTATTAGGTGGTTACCTACTAGTCAGACAATATTAGACCAGGGCTTTGGAGTGGAGCCCAGAGCTGGAGCGTGGACCAGTAGGTTTTATGCCCGGAGCTGGAGCGGAGCAATTCAAAAATCTGATTGCTCCAAATCCTTGCATTAGATGGCAGCTGTTCACTCCTCACTCTAACGCCAGGTACCGCCCTGTCTAGGAGTCGTTCAACTTTCAGAAGTGTGTTTCCACCCCTTGGGCATTGCCGGGGCTAGTTCTCACATATCAAACCCTCCCGCCCCAGCATCAATTTCTCTATACTCTGAGTTGCCTCTAACGGATCTTTGCATCTCTCCGGGACTGAGATGATGCTCACGGGGGCAGAGACAGGACAGCTGTACCTTTCTCCAGTGCGTTCTGGCAAAGGGCATTGACAACATTCATGAATTAAGCCACCCACCTTCCCCCACCCGCACCCCTTTACTGTGCCAATTTATTCATTGATGAATCTCCCTTTCCTCTCATCTCACCCAGAAAAAGTCCCCGGCCAAATATACAACATGACCTGGTTCTCTATTTTCAAGCTGGCTTCCGCTCTCTGATGCAATTGGCCTGAGAAAGGGTCAGCACACAGTCATTTGGAAACTGAGAAGTAGCTAGGATACCAACTGGCTAATTCACTAGCTGCCATTCTGCACCAATCCCAACTTCTATACGATTTTTACATTCAGGCAGGGTGGTCGTTGCTAGCTTGTCTCTGCCCATGGACAATTCCTGAGTCCACTGGATTTTCAGACAAAGTGGAAGTGCTCTTTCCCTCCACGGCTTTGTTCAGACCTTACAGATGCCGGCTACATTTCAGAGCAGGATAGCTGCTTGTGGAAGAACATGCTCACTCAGCTCGAAATGCACTCCTCTTGCTCCAGCGCGGTTTCCGATGACAGACGTGGAGCAACTGGAGTTCAGAGGTTTGGTTAATTACTAATTTTAACATGTTTCTGCAACAGGATCCAGCAAACTGAGAGATCCTGTAGAGAAAAGCAGAGCTGGAATATTTTTTACCCAGAATAAAGAATGCGAAGCATGGTTCCGGTTCTTGGAGAAGGCCTTCAGGCACAATCATCCCTTTGATTGGCAGGGGCCTGGGTGGGTATCTGTGTTTTTGTCTTGTTTTCTTGATGTTTTTATTTACCTTGAGCGTGTTCTGTTGAGCTGGGCTGGTAAACAAAGGCTCTCTGATTCTTCACGGAATGTTGATGAGATTTAGCATCTTTGGGGTCTTGATCTAAGAGAAATTAAGGAAAACAGGTACAAGAAGTAAACCGTCTACTGAGCCAAGCCACAGGTCACTCAGATGCCCCAGAGATGGCACGGTAATGAGTCCTGAATAGAACAGGATCCCTTTTTTCCAAATCAATAAGTTATTCCAGTCCTGGGCTCCCCACGCACACAGCAATTCTGACGTCCCTCAGTCCTGGCCCACAGCCCTTCTGCTCTTACGTCCCCACACTGCTCTACCAATGCATCCCCCTACTCCTCAGCTACTGCCGAGAATCTGCTCAGGCCAAGCAAACCTGCCACGCAGGTTGAACTGTGCTAATCTTGGGGCGGTTTGGGAAGGTAGACTATGCACAAGGCTGAGAAGAGCACAGCCATAGACCAGTGCATTGACGCTAGTGGGGGGTTATATTTGTGTCTGATGCAGAAGTCATCTGCAAGTGCCAATGACTCCAATGTGCGCTGGGCCAGCCCATCAGATTGGTGGGGAGCTGGTAAAATTCACTGATATAAGATTTGTATTTTTTTTAAGAAACCAGCTTCATAAAAAGTTGAGATCCTTTAACAAAGGCTTCAAGCAGTGGGGCTTGGGGGAAGGGAGAGCGGAGCTGCAGCAAGCTCGACCCGGCAGGCCAGGGTTGACAGGACTACCATACTTGTCTCTGCTGCACCTTCTGTGGGCAAGCAAGGTGCAGGCCTGATGGCCTCACCAGGTGTGTCTACCCTGGAGCTGCAGGTGTAACTTCTAGCTCTGGCAGACAGACCTGCGCCAGCTGTGATGGACTAGCATGCTACAAATAGAAATATTGCTGCAGCAACGTGAAGGGCTAGCAGCCTGAATACATACACTGGGCTTCAGACGGGAGCGTTCTCCAGGCAGCAAGGCCCAGCTCCAGTCCCATCCAGTTCTTCAGCTTCCCCTGTCAGGAAGATGCTAGACTGGAAGACAACTCCAAATGACTACAGAACATGAGATCTGTTCTCCAGGCCAGTCAGAATACAACCCAATAATGACAAACCTGCCCTTCCCTCTAGCAGATAAAGTGATCTGTTACAGTCCCAAAGAGAACCTGAAAGGCACCCTACGACCTCATCTTCAGGAGAGTTCTGGGGACATTACCTATCAAAGTTCCCTTAAAGTCCTCAAATGGAGGGTTCTTCTGGTCCACACTCCTGCTTGCCACCTTTTTCTTTGGTGCCTGAAGATGGCTCTCCCCCTCAGCAGAGGCTCTGGACACTTGCGAGTGGGTGAAAGCAATATTCATCCATGAACTGTAGAGATTAAAAGTCTAATTAGGAAAATAAAGGGCCACACACATGCAGATGAAGTTTCCCTCCCCTAGGGTTAAAAGCCAAGCCTAAATGATCTGTGATGATATCTACTCCCAGTCAGGAAACCTGTGATCTAGTTGTGCAGATTAAGAAGATATTTGAACCGGAGGGGGAAAAAAATCAGCTGTCTGGATTTTGTGGCCGTGTAAAAAAATTCTAAGACAGTTGGCCACGTACTGGTAATTTGGAACACTAACATCTGATGGTCCTTCAAAGAGAAGCTCTCTGTATTTGGTGCTGCAATGCTTCCATACGATCCACACACGAAGGAATTCTCGTGTACAGCAGGGATACAGACTGAATGCTATTTTGCCAGGCAACACCTCATAAACCTTATGGTGAAGTCCTTGCACTGTCTCCAGCAGATCCCCACTCAGCCCCTTGATAAATGCTGAGTTTATGGCTCAGTTCCCACACCTCCCCAGATGAGAGCTGTTGTGCTAACCGGGCCTACAAATTTACCCGAATTGTGAGTTAAACTGTAAAAAGTGAATGAACATTTATAGCGCGGGTAACAAAATGGAAGAACTAGAACTACTGGTGCAGGAAGTGAAGCCAGATATGATAGGGATGTCAGAAACATGGTGGAATAGTAGTCATGGCTGGAGTCCAGGTAATGAAGGTTATGTGCTGTTCAGGAAAGACAGAAATAAAGATAAAGGTGGTGGAGCAGCTTGTATGTTAATGATGAGGTAGACTGTAAAGAAATGAGAAGTGATGGAATGGATAAGAGAGTCCATTTGGGTCAAAATCACTTGGGGAAAGAAAACTACCAGAGGCTACTCTAGGATAGTGCTTGGGGTATGCTAAAGACCCCCGGATCCAATCTGGATATGGATTGACACCTTGTTAATATTTTTAATGAAATAAATACAATCGAAAATTGTGTGATTATGGCAGACTTTAACGTCCCAGATATAGATTGGAAGACAAGTCCTAGTAATAGTAATAGTAGGGCCCAGATTTTCCTGGATGTGATAGCTGGCAGATGTCTTCATCAAACAGTCATCGAACCAACATGAGGTGATGCCATTTTAGGTTTGGCACTGGTGAGTAATGAGGACCTCATAGAAGAACTGGTTGTAGGGGACAACCTTGGTTCAAGTGACCATGAGCTAATTCAGTTTAAACTGAATGAAAGGATAAACAAAAACAAATCTGCAAGTAGGGTCCCTGATTTCAAGAGGGCAAACTTTAAAATATTAAGGGAATTAGTTAGGGAAATGGACTGGACTGAAGAACTCAAAGATCTGAATGGGGAGGAGGCTTGGAATTACTTTAAATCAAAGTTGCAGAAACTTTGCCTGCATCCCAAGAAAGGGGAAAAAATTCATGGGGAAGGGTTGCAGACCGGTGATAAAGAAAAAGCAGAAAACCTACAAGGAATGGAAGATGGGAAGGATCAGCAAGGAAAGCTACCCTTTGGAGATTAGAAAGTTTAAGGATAAAGTGAGAACTGCTAAGAGCTAAGTAGAGTTGGGCTTTGCAAAGGAAATTATGTCCACCTAAGTTAGTTTGGCACACAGCCGACGCAGTAATTAAAGGAAAGAAGAAATAGGACTGCCAAGCACTGAGGATGGGGTGGAGATTAAAGATAATCTAGGCATGGCCCAACACCTAAACAAATACTTTGTCTCAGTTTTTAATGAGGCTAATGAAGAGTTTAGGGGCAGTGGCAGGGTAGTTAATGGGAACAAGGATATGGAAGTAGAAATTACCACATCCAAGGTGGAAGACAAACTCAAACAGCTTAATGGCACTAAATTGGGGAGCCTGGATAATCTCCATCCAAGGATATTAAAGGAACTGGCACACGAAATTGGGAGCCCAATAGCAAGGATTTTTAAAGTATCTGTAAACTCATGGGTCATACCCTATGACTGGAGAATTGCTAACACAGTACCTGTTTTTGAGAAAGGGGAAAAAAGTGATCCAGGAAACTACAGGCCTGTTAGTTTGATCTCAACTGTATGCAAGGTCTTGGAACAAATTTTGAAAGAGAAAGTAGTTAAGGACATAAAGGTAAATGGTAATTGGGATAGAATATAACATGGGTTTACAAAAGGTAGATCATGCTAGACCAACACAATCTCCTTCTTTGAGAAAAAAACCTGATTTTTTTGACAAAGGAAATGCAGTAGATCTAATCTATCTGGATTTCTGTAAGGCATTTGATATGGTTCCACATGCGAAATTATTAGTTAAATTGCAGAAGATGGGGATCAATATGAACATTGGAAGGTGGATAAGGAACTGGTTAAAGGGGAGACTACAATGGGTCATACTAAAAGGTGAACTGTCAGGCTGGACAAAATTTACTAGTGGAGATCCTCGGAGATCGGTCTTGGGACCAATCTTATTTAACATTTTTATTACTGACCTTGGCACAAAAAGTAGGATTGTGCTAATAAAATTTGCAGACGACATAAAATTGGGAGGCATTGTCAACATGGAGGAGGCCTGGCATATCATACAAGAAGGTCTGGATGACCTTGAAAACTGGAGTAATAGAAATGGGATAAAATGTAATAGTGCAGTCAGGCACTTAGGGACTAACAAGAAGAATTTTTTCTATCAACTGGGGCTTTTATCAGTTGCAAGTGACAAAGAAAGAGAAGACCTGGGTGTGCTGGTTGATCACAGGATGACTATGAACCGTCAACATGATTGCGGCCACGAAAAAGGGTAATGTAATCCTAAAATGCATCAGGCGAGGTATATTCAGTAGAGACGAGTAAAACGACACTAACACTTCCAATATACTGGTGAGACGTCATCTGGAATACTGTGTGCAGTTCTGGTCTCCCACATTTAAGAAAGATGAATTCAAACTGGAACAGGTGCAGAGAAGGGCTACTAGGATGATCTGAGGCATGGAAAACCATTCTTGCGAGAGGAGACTCAAAGAGCTTGGCTTGTTTAGCCTAACTAAAAGAAGGCTGAGGGGAGATATGATTGCTCTCTATAAATATGTCAGAGGGATAGATACCAGGGAGGGAGAAGAGTTATTTCGGTTAAGTGCCAATGTGGACACAAAAACAAATGGATATAAACTGCCCATCAACAAGTTTAGGCTTGAAATTAGACAAAGGTTTCTAACCATCAGAGGAGTGAAGTTCTGGAACAACCTCCCAACAGAGGGGGAAAGGAGGGGGACACGGACCTAACTGGCTTCAAGACTGAGCTTGATAAGTTTATAAAGGGAATGGTACAAGGAGATTGCCTACAATTGCATGTAGGCAATCTGCAACTGCTAGTAGCAAATATCCCCAATGGCTGGTGATGGAAACTAGATGGGGAGGGTTCTGAGTTACTAGAGACTTCTTTCCCAGGGGCTTGTCCACATGCTCAGGGTAAACTGACCACCATATTTAACGTCGGGAAGGATTTTTCCCTCAGGTCAGATTGGCAGAGATTCTGGGTTTTTTTAGCCTTCCTCTGCAGCCTGGGACACAGGTCACTTTCAGGTTTAAACTAGTGTAAATGGTGGATTCTCTGTAACATTAAGTCTTTAAATCATGACTTGAGGACTTCAGTAACTCAGCCAGAGGTTATGAGTGTGTTACAGAGGTGGGTGGGGTTCTGTGGCCTGCGATGTGCAGGAGGTCAGACTAGATGATCATGATGGTCACTTCTGACCTTAAAGTCCAAGACACCAGGCCAGAGAGAAGGAGCCAGATGACATTGCCATTTCTACTGGCTAAATCCAAATACCGCCTGCGATGTCAGACTTTGTCACATGCCCCACCCCCGCGTGTGTTCTTTTCCTTCTCCACCTTATTTCCTCACCTTCCCATCCCTCCCTCTCCTTTTTACTTCTATTTAATAAGAGTCTGGCTTAGCTGGCCAAGGCTGCATATTTTGCAATTCTGCTGTAAGCCTGTGAGCAAAAAAGGCAGCTACATGCAATGCCTCAAACAGCATGAAGCTGGGACAAGTCTGCCAAGTCTCTGAGGGTATCTCCACACAGCAACTAGACGTACCAGCTGACTTGGGCTCGCAGGGCTCTGGCTGCGGGGCTGTTTCACTGCTGTGCAGACCACTTGGCTTGGCTTGCAACGCAGATGTAGGATCCTGAGAGATGGGAGGGTCCCAGAGCGCAGGCTCCAGCCGGAGCCCGGAAACAGCCCGCAGCCTAAGCCCCACGAGCTGGAGTCAGGTGGCACAGGCCAGCCACAAAGCCTTCTTTGCTGTGTAAGCATACTCTGAATGGCTGACCAGACAGTGTTCTGGGTCTGTGTTTCTCCAGCAGTGAGGCTGCAAGTGAGAGTCAATGCCAGAGCCAGAAACTGCATTTTGTCTCTTTGCTGTTCTTTTCTCTGCCCCTTTTGAGTTTATTCCTCTTGTCTTGTCTTCTAGGAACCAGGATTGGACTTGAACAGCAGCAGCAGCAATGACAGAGCGAAGTCCTCATGTTGCTCTGGATATTTCAGGAGCTGCACTGCTCTGGAGTGAATGTGTCCAACCCTCCTTGGCCAGAGGGATGGGGAACAGTCACAGTAACATGTCTTGATGGTAAGAGCAAATACAGTCGAGCGAGAAGGAAACCCGCGCAGA